CTGGAGCTGGGCAGCAGCTAGAGGCAGGGTAGGGATCAAAGTGCAACTGTGTCTGCAGCCGGAATCTTACACCCTGCTGCCTGGTGTCTCTTGCTTTGCTCATGTGCTGTCATCTTCTATTTTTGCTAACCATTAGGGTTTTGCTTAGTGTATGTGTCTTCCTTTGTAGCATGATCTCTTTCTTAGGGTCACTTCAAATGGTTTGGAACAAATCTGGTGTTACAAGGATCTGGGCACACCTTACTGTGTCCTTGGCCTTTCCCTTCAGATTCCTGTGGCTCACTGCAGTTGCAGCTTTTGATCATTACCAAAAGATTGCAGTTAAAAAGGTCGTGGAAATATTTTGCAACTTCAGTACAGAAAGGTCCACAACATCAGTTATGTGTTTGGGGTGATGATGAGCAGGTTGGCCTCGGTGATCTAAGCAGCTTTTCTCATCAGTGTTCCTAGTTGTTTCTGTGTTACAGTCTGAAGACCATTTACATTGAAAACAAAACCAAAAGAATAATCCTTCCTTTTAGAACAATTGGAAAGAGACATGGTCTTAAAAGAAGTAAACAAGCTAAATATCCTTACAGTGATGTAGTATTATCTCAATGACGTGTTTAAAGTAGAGCTTTTTATTATTTATCTCTCTTACCATAGCTGTAAAATTGTTGCCATTTCCTGTGTGGGAGAGGAACAGGAGAAAAACTGACTCAGATTCTTTTTTTTTTTTTTTTTTTTTTTCCCCCCTAATGTGTATGGCTGAATTAAGTCTTGTAAAGAGATTTGAAAGAAAAAAGAAATAGCAACTTGCCAGGAAAAAAACAAAAATCAAATGGAAGATGATTTTCGGGATCAGGGTGAAGAAATTGTAAGATCACTACCTCTTCTTTTAAAACCAGGGTTGCTTTTATAACATCACAGTAACATACAGAGTTTGAAGGACTTCATGAGTGTTACTCCCAGAGGATGGTCAAAGAGAAATACTGCTTTACAACATCAAGTCGGGTGGATCGTGAGCCCCAGCTGAGGCTTTCTGGTAGTGGCTGGTGGTGCATGTTGACAGTAACTTGTGCTGCTGTGCGCTGAGTAAATTGTATCTAACAATGTGGAATTAAGTTGGCTTTCTGCTGAAATAAGTATTTTTTTACTTTTTTCTCCTTTTTTTTAATTCCTAAGCAAAGTTTATGCCACTATTGCCAAGGCAACACTTGCAGCACAAACCATAGCATTAGTGCAATGGATGAGTAAAATGCATTGGGATTCGTGAGGGATTTCCCTTGCAATGCTGTGGAGGCTCCTCTGGAAACTGAACCTGTGTTTGCTGCTGTGTTTGTGCGTAAAATACCCTTCCTGAATGATCAAATAGCTGTCTGGAAGTACTGGAGGAGATTTACCTGTCAGACCAGGGAGTTGGACACCTAGGCACGATTTCTAAGTGTCTGAAAGACTGAAAAGCCAGCAGAGATAATAGTGTAGTAGTGGTTTGGGGTTTTTTTGGTTTTTTTTTTTTTTGACAGATAACATTAGAAAGAGAACAAGTTGAATATGATTTCTTATTGGTCTAACCTCTCAAACTTTATTTACACAAATTGCTGTAGAGATTTTTTTTAAGTGCCTGTTCCAATTTTCAAGAAAGTCAGAGAATTTGTAAATGAATGCTGCAGTAAAAGTCAGCCTTTGCTGATTTTGCTCATTTTAAATATTTGTCACCAGCTACTATTACTAGCTAGTAATTATGCTGTTTTCAATTAAAAACTGTTAAGACTTGTTTGAATACTGGCAATACAGCTGTAATGATCTTTCTGTATTAGTTTGTTAGAACAAGCATCATGTCTAATTGAAGTAGGTATCTAATGGATATAGAAATATTTGTGCTTATCTTTTAAAACATGTTATTAAAAATGTGAAGATATTAAAGAATGAATACTTAAAGTTATGAAATAAACGTTCTACACAACTTGATACCAAACATTTTAGCTCTTTATATTGTATCCTTGAGCTTGGGTTGAATGCCTAATAAGTACTGTGCAAGCAGCACTGTTATTTAAGAAAACATTTTAAATTTATAGAAGGATAACAAATCTAAGGGAAGGAAAACTGTGTCATTCCAGTAAATGAGTTTTGCAAACAACTGCAATTTGGGAAAGATTGGTTTTTATAGACTAAAAAAAAACCTAGAAAGTGTCCCATCAGATATCAGTATAGGCTCTGCATGAAGCAGGCTGTTTGATTTCTTGAAAATTATTTTTGATTTCACATGCTCTGATAGTTTGGAACATATGTCTTGTAAGGGACAAAAGAGGACAAAACTTGATTGAGAGATTTTTAGCGGTGAAGAGTTCAACACAATCCTTAGCAACTGCTAGCAGTAAAAAAACAGCTTGAGCCTTCTTTAGTCTGAATGTATATATGTTAATTTACCAGCTACCAGATCTCATACTTTTATCTCTTTTATCTTAAGTGTCTTTTATACTTATATTTTTAATATGCCTTACATATGTATGAACATACATACATGGGTATTCATACAGGGTGTGATTCTGTTATTCTAAGTCTCTCATTAATAAGCTCAGTAGACCCTGCTTCTGGAGACATCATTTGTATATTACTATAAGATACGTTTCTTAAATCCTTTAAATAATTTTTGTGATACTTTTCAGAGCCATCCCTTTTATAACATATTTCAGAACTTGAAAATCAGAAAAGAACCTATTAGTGGGAATTAGTTATCTTCATGACAAATGTCAATATAATTTTTTGGTTTCTTGTTCCTCATATGTGCATCCAAGGATCATATCGATCCCTTAAACAACATGTCCATCAGATTATCTTACACTACCTTCTCTTTCCTTCCTTGTAACAGTTTGTCATCATTCCTGTTTATTGTGGTACTACTGTATCCCACAGTGGTCCTTGATTTGATAGAGAGCAGTCCTGGCGGAACCATGCACCTATTATTGCATCTTTGTAGGTATTATTTGATGAAAATATTAGCAGAAAAATAATTAAGCTGATTAAATAGCCTTAAGGTATTCCTTTGAAGTGTAAACAGGCAGCATGGAAGATTGCACACAGATGCTTTCAGGGCAATGTAGCAAATGGGGAATGAAGTTGGGACTAGTGATAGATATGGTTTGAGAGGGTGACAACTTGGTCAGAATATTATGATTGGAAATAAAGTGGCAGATTATTTTTTTTTAAAAGGAATTGCACATTTAAAGATTATGATTGCCAAATGTATTAAAGACAACTGTGGACCAAAAATAAAATTATTTTAATCTACCTGTCTTACTAATTAGTATTATTTTAAGTTATTGTTGTAAATACTCAAGTTTAGTTGTTTCTGAAGGTGAAAAATTATGTGTCATTCAGGAAACTTATTAAAAATATTATCTTTTCATCTTCAGAAGCCATTTCTCAAGGAAGACTTCTGCCATATTTGTTTGAAAATACTTTGAAGATAGTCTCTGTGTACTTTATGAACAATCCCGTGGGCTGTGCACTGGAAGAGTGCTGACATTGGATTCTGCTCTTCTTAATGGAGTGAGGGGAAACTTCACAAAAAAAGAGCAAATTGACCCTCATAGCTTGTCAGAAGGATCTGCCTTTCTCAGTGGACTGTACAGAGAATTTAGGCAATTAGGTTAAACAGGTTTCCACATCTTGGTCTGACTTTCCTTATCTCCATGCTCACATTCTAGGGTATCACTTAAAATGAGATACCAGGGTACATAAGGAGTGTATTGGTTTCCCGCAGATATAATTGCATTGTAAAGGCATGGCTCTGCTTACCTGTCTCTTTTCTGAGGTTTTATTATTCTGTTACTAACCTCCTAAGCAGCCTTGAAAGAACTACTGATGTTGTTTATAAAATCAATGAGTTTGCAATGTTTAGAGGGCTTCAGAAAAATACCATGTGGAGAAGAAAATGGATGCTCTGCAGCATTTAATATGACTTGGTGAGCAGCCTGTCAGCTAAGACTTGAAAAGAAAAAAGAAAAAGAAAATCAATTTAGAATGACCAGCAAGTAATAAAAAAACTGAAGCATGCTTCAAGGTTCAGACATTTGGTGCCACTTTTACCCTGCTGTGCACTATAGTTAGTGTTCATAAGTTTAGCTTCTAATTTAGCAGAATCATTCTGTAATGAAAATGTTTGTCCAGTACACTTGACATTCTTGAGATCACTGCACTTAAATCAGCTGTTTCTTTTAGAAAATATTTCAGTTACAGTTGACATCCCCAGGCATTTTTTGGTGGCTCTTTTTGCAGCACCTCTTCCTCAGTGGGTGCTGCACAGAAATCACGGTGCTTCCTTGTGGGCATTGTGCTGCTGGTGGCCTCTTTTTTTCATGGAAGAGAGAGATCAAGGTATTGAGGGTGCTGAGTGATTCCATACCATACACAGCTGTGTTCAAGTAGAGGTGCCTAAACACAACAGCCATCCAGATCTTGAACGCTTGTTCTTCAAAAGTATCAGTGCTCAACGCTTACAATGCTAAGCTATTGCTTTTATCCATTCTGTGTAATAGAAGTTTATTAAAAATTCAGTAACAAAAAACCCCAGTTTGCATTATTGCTTCCATTCTTACTTTTGAGGTTTTTATGAGTAAACTTATTTGTAGTGGGACTGAGGAGAGATTTGCTAAGTTGTCTTTGATTTGTTGAAGTATTTTACCGACCAGTTGCCTAGTTCAGTGTTAATAAAAATGAGGGGTTTAAAAACAAATTAATTCAGTCATAGTGAAATACTTGTTACTATTAATTTAGTTAGGTAAGTTTGTTTGAATTTTTGTAGGATATGGAATAGTCTAAAACATTCCAAAAAGGATAAATTTTGATGTTATAGCAAATAGCTCTTACGGAAAATTTGTAATTCTGTTGTACTTAAAACTTTCCAGAAATGGAATAAAAATATATCTCTTCTGAACACAGGGATCAATTCTAAATGATGCACTTTTTGAAAATAAATTTACAGGGCTTTTTTTTTAGTTTTTCAATTATTTTCACAGGCTGATCCAGAAGAGCTGATTCAGATGGTCACAAAGCATGTTACTCAGTATGGCTATACAGACTGGCCTGAAGAAATAGCAACTTTGATAAATCAGCTGCGTTACTACAATGAACGACTACTGGATTTCACTCAAGCTCAGATTCTGCAAGGACTTGGCAAAGGAGTGGATGTGCAGAGGTTTACTGCAGATGGACAGTACAAGAGAGAAACAATACTAGGATTGGCAGAGTAAGTAATGTCTGTTATGTTTATTTTCTTTATTTTGAAATGGAATTACTTTAAGCTTTAAATCGGGAAAGTACGTTGGAAGTAGTGCTGACCTTTAGAAGGGATAAGTTAACCGTTGCTTTAGATATTTACACTGTAATGCTGCTACAATGGGAGCCTTTTCCATTCAGTTACTCCACTTAAATGACATGTTGCTCAAATGGATTTATAACTTCCAATGGAAACTATAACTCTTTGTTTATTAACTGCTAATTTTAATCAGGAAGGAATGAAATCAGAGCATAGGTGGAGATCTGATCTCTTCCTTTCATCTCCTGTAAACCTCCCCTAGCAATCTATTAGGGTACGCCCAAGCCTCAAAGTTTGTAATGAACTGTGGTTTAAAAAAAAAAAAAAGTTGATAAACTGTATTTTATTTTTAATAATTTAGTTAAAGTGACTGTAACAACATTTTTCCCCTGTAGTCATTTGGAAGTAGTGAAGTCTTCACTGCACATGTTCTGATATTTAGAATGCTTTTGTCTCACCTCTCAGTTATCCAGAACAGAAAAAAAGGAAAGATACAGGATAGTACAGTCTTTCAATTTAAAAAATACCTTTTAATTAATATCTGCATGCAGGTGTTTTAAGCTGTGAACAAGTCATGAATGTACTTGTTTTAAAGCCAATCACAGCCAAGTAACCACTAGACTGTCAAAGGAAGAGTTCCATGCAGTAAGAACCTTTGAATATCATTTTTAACCTAATTTTAAATTACTCTGTGCATAAAGCTTTTGAAGAGCATATTGAGATGTTTAGTCTTCCACTATTGTAGCTACTCATAGCTACAATTCCAACAGAAATTTGTTAGCAAAAAAAATTGTTATGAAATGCTGAATAAGAATAATAGTATAACCTCACGTTTTGAACACTAAGCTGATGCTTTGCATCTATAAAATCTATACCTGCAGAGATTTTGTCACTGTATTAATAAAAATAGCTTGTAAGCATCTTTTAATGTTTCCATTGGAGTTACCTGTTTGGTATGTATTGTTTTTTGAGCACGTCAGTAGTATGTCACTAGGTGAATGTTATATCTTGTTTATCTACAGTAACTTCAATACAAAAATCCTTCTGTTGTTATAGATATTTATTTTGGATGCAGTGTGCTTACTTACATTCTTATCCAAGAGTTCTTTAGATACTATCTTTCATAAAAATATGAGAAGAAAGTTCCTCACAGTAAGTAGAGATTGAAACACACTATGAAAGGGTTAGTAAAAATAAGGCTTCATAGCATGTGGATGAGAGTGGTAGTTCCATTTTAGGCAATTGTAAAGATTAAATTAATTTCTTTGTTCAGCTTGCAGTTTCCTTGCTTTAATCTTCTCAGTTACTCTTAATCTGTGTTTTCTAGTGAAAACGATGTGCAAATTCAGTATAATTGTGTGGCATGTTTTTTCTTATTTTTGAATTAAGTGCCTTATGTTTTTAATCTTTTGTGAAGTGCTGTTTGCAGGAACAACTGGAAGAGATGGTATCTTATTTACAAAACAACTTTGTACTAGAATGAGCAATTTGCTGAAACTACTTAACAAATAGTTGTCGGTTTTATCTTCCCTATTTGGTGTATTGTCATTAGAGCTTATTATGCATTATTTATCAAATATTTAAAGATCTGGGTGCCTCACAGACTTAATCAAGGTTAGTTCTCAAGCAGTTAACAATTTATTTGGGCAAAATAGATCTGGAATGTACCTGGAAAGGAATTGGGGAAACTAAAGCAAGACTAAATGGGAATTCCTGAGTAATCATGTGAAGTGTCCCATGTAGCTTCAGGCCAGCTATGATGTATAAGGTTTATAAATTAGTCTTTTACTTGAGGCCAGCTTTTGGGTGGCTTTTTTTTTTTTTTACCTGGCTCTGAGGTCTTCAGCCCGTCACTGCTTCTCTTAAAATGTTGAAAACAGAAGTTGAATATTTAATTATTTAATAACATTTTCTTCCTTGTTTTGTGTCACTGATCTGCAATACTTACTTTAGATTTTTAGAAAAATTGTGCAATTATCAAGCAATCTGAATTGTATAACTCAGGTTGGGCTTATTGGTTTCTCAGAATGATCTTGCTGCACATGAACTATGTCCCTTTCCAGAAGACTCAACCAGAAGGTCCTGTGTAAAATCACTTTGAATGTACTTCGTCTATTATTAGTGACATTAGCTTCTGAACTGTTGTATATGCTTCTGCTAAACTACTGTGCTCTATTGCCAGTGCAGGCGCAGCCTTTTCTCCCTGATGCAGTGCTGCTGCAGAATTTAACAGCCAGCCATAGCCTTCCATCTCATTTTCCTGCTTCAAACATGAAAGGCAACTAAAGGCTCGTGACTTAAATCTTCATTTCACTTCTCCAAGTTGGATTTTTTTTTAACATTTTTTGAAGATGGGCAATTAGAAAAGACGATCTCATTTCCCTTTATTATGATTGAATCCAGTAGTGGTTCTAATGCTTTGAAGCTGATTGATGGCAATGGGAAATGTTGAAGACTGCAATTGTGAGCAAATACATGCACATGTAAGATACAGCAGAGGTTTTAGAGAACAAGATAAAAAAAAATTGCTGTGAGCTGAGGAATCTTTATTTCTGTGAACTTGAAGATAGTCAGCAAACCCCCAGCTGAACACTACTGCACAGGCATAGTTTTTGATACTTTCACAGGCATATGGATGCTAGCTTTACTAGCATGCTTTACTTTTTAAGTAGAGGGTTATTAGATTCTTCCTAAGGATCATCTTCTTCCGTCAAGATATTCTATATCTGAATAGATGATACAAGAAAAGTAATATATTGTACCTTTTTTTTTTTTTAATTAAAGTATTGAGATCGGTGTTAAGAACTAGCCTGCAGAATAGTGCTGTTAACCTCATCATCTCCAGTGTACCTTTTCCTGAATATCTTCTGTTATCTTCCCCTTAGCCGGTGGCATACTCACTGTGCAGTTCTTGCATCAATCTTCACCTTCACTTTAAGTAGCAATCCCCTTGTTGACAATATGTCAAATGATTTCTGGAAAAACCAAGAGAATGTAAGTTTACATGTGTTGTGATTTGGCAACAACTGTGTGTCACTGGATAAAATAGATCTGCTTTTATGTACTGAATGGCAGCCTGCACAAACTGTGGCTACTGATGTGGAATTTACAGTGTAGTGTTGTTGTGGCAGTCCACCCTAATGTCGAAAAACAGAATAAAGCATCTGCCTCTGAAGATGAGATGACTCTTACTGAGTATTTCTGAAAAAGTTTCGATCATCATCCTCATAGGTACATCTTTCCTTGCTGGGTTAAAAAGTGTTCTGTTTGCGCTGAAGGGCTGAGTCTAGTTTCAAGAGACTGGGTGCAGGAAGCCTTGCTGTGCTGGAAAATCAGAGGGGAGGCACCATGGCCATTGGAACAGAAGAGACAGGGTAGTGTCTATTTGTTTGGGTTTTTTCTTTCTTCTTAAATGTATTTGAATAAATATTTTTTTCAATCTTAAAATATATATTTCTTTCTTTCAATTTTAATGCTTGTGTTCTACCTCCTTTCCTTTACATACATCTTATTCAGTGTAAAGTGCCTAATAGTTTTCAGGGGTTGTCATAACTAAGCGTCATTGCAAGAAGTCTGTGAACTTTTTTTTGTGGTTTTTTTTTTTGTTTGTTTGTTTGCTGTGAACTTTTTTTTGTGGGTTTTTTGTTTGTTTGTTTGTTTTCTTTTAACTATTAGAGCAATAATTATAATTCAAAGGTTATTCTTGTAGCTGGTTGTGAAGATTTTTCAGCGTTATGTTCTTTCTTGGCATTTTGTTTTTCTACTCTGTATTGTAGATCTTATTTTGATTCTATAATTTCTGTAGCAACTACGGGAGTGGAATGTGATATGTTGGAGTGAGCATCTGAAAATCAGAATTAAGGTGTATGAATGTGTCAGCTGTTCACCTAGGGTGGAGGTAAAATCGTGGACTCCAGTTGTAAGCCTTGTTTAGTATAGATCCATGTATGGTATAGATCTATGTACATGGCAAAAAAGAGAACCAGGAGGATATGGTCTCTAATCTGTAGGTTTATTCTACTTTCCTTTTATTGGTGATGGTATAGAAAACCTTGTACTAAAAGTTATTTTTGATCCACAATGTCTGTCCCCTACCCCCAGTATTGTAGAAAACAATGTAATGGATCTAAGGAATCTAAACGACCTTATCATGTCACTCAAGCATATGGAGTTAACATGAATCTGTACGTGAGTGATATTAATATAATTTTGTAAACTAATTTACTGACAGTCACAATTTTGCTATTTTGTAGCAGTTCATGTTGAGTAAGGCTTTTTTCCTTAGTCCCACATGACTTTTAAAATAAAGAATCTAAAACAATATAGTCAACAGTATTCACACTAAATACATGTTTTAAGAAGTTTGTGACAGGTCTATTACGATGTAATTCTAAGCAGATGGTATTTTTATTGGAATTATTCTGAAAAAAGCCCCCAGAACCAAAAGCAAAAAACAAAACTTCAAAAACCCAGCATCAGCGTTAATAGTTTTGCATTGCACCTATACCAGCATAAAAACAAAAACAGTGTGTGTCTATTTGAGTCATATTAGCTTCAGTGGATTAATGAAAACTAATATAAAGTTAACTTCAGGCTTTCATCACTTAACAGATTCTCCAACTATTGTTCTGTTAAAGGGATATACAGTAACAGAAAACTAACTTTTAGTATTTCTTGAACATTTACAAAGTGGAGCTGGATGTTTTCACACCTTTTAGTCTGCAAATACTAACAGTGTTTCTGTCTGTGAACTTCTAGGAAGAGCTTTGAGGACCTACATGCCATTTGTTCTAAAACACTATAGGTGTTGCAGTAAATGGTATAAATGCTAACTGTGACACATTCCGTCCTGTATCACTTTGTAATTAAAATGAGATGAGAACTCAGGTTTTTGCTTTCGCGCAACAGTTAAGCAGAAACTGTCATGGAGAATCCAGGTCTGTGTGGAAAATATGCCTGTCTTTGGAATATCTCTGTAGTTTGATTTTTATTTTTTTTCCTATTTTTAATATTTTCCCCCGAATGCGGCACTGAGTATAAGCAAATGCAAGAAGGTGTTTGGTGTATATTTATTTAACTGTGATTCTAGTTTCTTGGTTTATGAAGAAAAAAATTAAAAAGAAATCATTACTTATCTAATGTAAGTATTTATTTTCATGTCATGTTTCTGGGGGCTTAGTGTATCTTGTGCTTGTTTTCTTTCATGTTTCTCCTGTACAAGAACACTTGAAGAAAACGTCTATAAGATTGCTGTTTCTTTGGCTCAGCGATACAGTGTTCCACTTTGGGAAGTTTATATGACCCATCTGGAATTTTTATTCACTGACAGTGGGTAAGTTGTCTTGCCTGTAAATACACATAGGATTCTGTTACACAGAAATAACGTGCTAACCTATGAGAAGACTGAAGTATTTTGGGGGTAGAGTTTGGTTTATGTTTTCGTATTTCTAGTGTTGTGATAGTTTGGGAATTTTTGTCTTTTCCATGTGATGATTTTGTAATCAGGCACAAAAATAGGTGTTACAAGCAAGGATAACGGGAATTTTTGTGTTTTCCATGTGATGATTTTGTAATCAGACACAAAAATAGGTGTTACAAGCAAGGATAAAAGTCCATATGTGTTTTATTGTTCTTATAACACTTTGTTTCAGTGTTTAGGTTTCCACAGATTTGACTGTGTAGTTCTCTCTTCTGGCAACCACTTGTCTTGTAGTTATTTTTACAGTCCCTTGGAATATGTCCTGAAGCTTGAACGTTTTTACAGAATTATTTATTTTTTAAAAAGTTTTGCCATTTATTGGTCTCTTTTCTGTATAATAGCAAAGGAAATAAATATATTGGAACTTCCTGTTCACATTATTCATCTATTCATCTCTGTTACAGTTTTTTGTAGAAGCCCCTTTGTTTTACAGTATTTCCTTGGAACTGTCCTAGCCTACAAGATTACAGCAGACCAGACCTGGCACTGCGGGGGGCATGGGGGCAGGGATGCTTTTCTTTTCTATTCCAGAGTTAGTTAGAGGGTGCTTTTTTTTTTGTTTTTAAACTTAGACATCCTGTCAATCAGATAAGTGTATTTTGCCCACTGAAAGATGAATAAACCCATTCGATGAAAGACTAAGCTACTTGCCTGAATAATGCATTTGGATGACAGTGATGTAGAGCCCCCTGTGTAATACAGCAGCTCTTATCTACTGTTCTGACAGACGTGGTCAAATTAGTCTAGTTTGTTTCAAGTTTTAAATTGTGAAAGCAGCTTTAGCTTGCAGCAGTATTTGTACCTCTTAACATTAACTATTAATTAAAAAGCATTAATTTTTTTTTTTTATAAAACATGAGGCATAAAAAAAAGCCTTGTAGATGTTGGTGCAAGATCTGAGAAGATTAAATAACATTCTGAGATTTTCTTTGCTTCCTTCAGAAAACAGAGAAGTCATACCCTCTAAATTTTGATGCTGCTAAATTATTTAGAGCTTTAAACAAAATAGACAATCAGGGTATAAACATAGCAGCACTGGGGTGAATGTGAAAGAGCCAGCTGACTTCTCTGGGACTAGAATATTACCTAAGGTATTTTGCAACAGTTTTCTATCATCTTCTCTGTTCTTGCCCTCCTTGAGTTAGTATTCATAGAATTCTGAAATCATTGAAGTACAAAGTAACAACCTTTTCCCTAATGAAATTCAAAAAAATTTTGAAAATTGATGTATAATAGCATAATATGCTGCTGAGCATGTTTTTGTTGTATCATAATCTCATTTTAAAGTTGATTGACAGCATATGGCCATTACAGTCTATTTTAGTCTTGGGATTATGGCATTAATAATGCATGCCTTGTTACGCATTCATTCTGAACTGAAAGAAGTTTATTCTAAGACTTAATCTCTTTAACCAAATATGCAGTATTACTGTAAGCCACTTTATGTAGGGAGAAGCTCAGAAGAAGGATTTACATAGTTTATGTTAACTATTCCTTGGATTACTTGATGGCAAATAAACATCACATGTTTTTCTGTTACAGTATGAATTTGAGTCTGACTAAAATTGTTCAGAATTTTAAAAAATTAAATGGAAATTGAATTGTTTATTTTGAAGAATCTGATCACATTTGATTACTAAAAATCTACAAAATACATCTTATTATTTCAGCGACAGGAAATTTTATGTTTGCCTGTCACAGAATCTTTTGTTCCAGAATCTTTCTGAACAGAATAATGAACCATTCCTATCCACTATCAACCCTGCCCCAAAAACACATGGCAAACCTCTGTCCATCCAGTCAATATAATTTAATGTCCATCTAGCCTTTAGTTTGATCTTTGGGTCTGGACAGAATAATGTATTCAGATCATACTCTTGAAATACATCAGTTCCAAGTATCTGTTTTTGTCTGATATATAAGAGTGAGTGATGCTTTATATGCTATATTTTGGGGTTGTTCAGCCTGGAGAAAAGAAGGCTCCAGGAAGACCTTATAGCAGCCTTCCAGTACCTGAAGGGGGCTACAGGAGAGATGGGGAGGGACTCTTTATCAGGGAGTGTAGTGACAGGATGAGGGGTAATGGTTGTAAGCTGAAAGAGATTTCAATTAGATATTAAGAAGAGGTTTTTCACTATGAGGGTGGTGAGACACTGGAACAGGTTTCCCAGGGAAGCTGTGGATGCCCCATGCCTGGAGGTGTTCAAGGCCAGGTTGGATGAGGCTTTGAGCAACCTGGGCTAGTGGAGGGTGTCCCTGCCCATGGCAGGGGGGGTGGGGGCCGGGGGTCTT